TTGGCAGTGAGATGTCATGTGATTAGAGTGGTCGTAGTTGGCAGTGTGATGTCATGTGATCAGAGTGGTCGTAGTTGGCAGTGTGATGTCATGTGATCAGAGTGGTCGTAGTTGGCAGTGTGATGTCATGTGATCAGTGCGGTTGTAATTGGCAGTGTGACGTCATGTGATCAGTGCGGTCGTAGTTGGTAGTGTGACGTCATGTGATCAGTGCGGTCGTAGTTGGTAGTGTGACGTCATGTGATCAGTGGGGTCGTAGTTGGCAGTGTGATGTCATGTGATCAGTGCGGTCGTAGTTGGCAGTGTGATGTCATGTGATCAGTGTGGTCGTAGTAGGCAGTGTGATGTCATGTGATCAGTGTGGTCGTAGTTGGCAGTGTGACGTCATGTGATCAGTGCGGTCGTAGTTGGCAGTGTGATGTCATGTGATCAGAGTGGTCGTAGTTGGCAGTGTGACGTCATGTGATCAGAGTGGTCGTAGTTGGCAGTGTGACGTCATGTGATCAGTGTGGTCGTAGTTGGCAGTGTGATGTCATGTGATCAGTGCGGTCGTAGTTGGCAGTGTGATGTCATGTGATCAGTGCGGTCATAGTTGGCAGTGTGACGTCATGTGATCAGTGTGGGCGTAGTTGGCAGTGTGATGTCATGTGATCAGTGCGGTCGTAGTTGGCAGTGTGATGTCATGTGATCAGTGTGGTCGTAGTTGGCAGTGTGATGTCATGTGATCAGTGCGGTCGTAGTTGGCAGTGTGATGTCATGTGATCAGTGGGGTCGTAGTTGGCAGTGTGATGTCATGTGATCAGTGCGGTCGTAGTTGGCAGTGTGATGTCATGTGATCAGTGCGGTCGTAGTTGGCAGTGTGATGTCATGTGATCAGTGTGGTCGTAGTTGGCAGTGTGATGTCATGTGATCAGTGCGGTCGTAGTTGGCAGTGTGATGTCATGTGATCAGTGCGGTCGTAGTTGGCAGTGTGATGTCATGTGATCAGTGTGGTCGTAGTTGGCAGTGTGATGTCATGTGATCAGTGCGGTCGTAGTTGGCAGTGTGACGTCATGTGATCAGAGTGGTCGTAGTTGGCAGTGTGATGTCATGTGATCAGTGCGGTCGTAGTTGGCAGTGTGATGTCATGTGATCAGTGCGATCGTAGTTGGCAGTGTGACGTCATGTGATCAGTGCGGTCGTAGTTGGCAGTGTGATGTCATGTGGTCAGTGCGGTCGTAGTTGGCAGTGTGACGTCATGTGATCAGAGTGGTCGTAGTTGGCAGTGTGACGTCATGTGATCAGTGCGGTCGTAGTTGGCAGTGTGATGTCATGTGATCAGAGTGGTCGTAGTTGGCAGTGTGATGTCATGTGATCAGAGTGTCGTAGTTGGCAGTGTGACGTCATGTGATCAGAGTGGTCGTAGTTGGCAGTGTGACGTCATGTGATCAGTGCGGTCGTAGTTGGCAGTGTGATGTCATGTGATCAGTGGTCGTAGTTGGCAGTGTGATGTCATGTGATCAGAGTGGTCGTAGTTGGCAGTGTGATGTCATGTGATCAGAGTGGTCGTAGTTGGCAGTGTGATGTCATGTGATCAGAGTGGTCGTAGTTGGCAGTGTGATGTCATGTGATCAGTGCGGTCGTAGTTGGCAGTGTGATGTCATGTGATCAGAGTGGTCGTAGTTGGCAGTGTGATGTCATGTGATCAGTGCGGTCGTAGTTGGCAGTGTGATGTCATGTGATCAGAGTGGTCGTAGTTGGCAGTGTGATGTCATGTGATCAGAGTGGTCGTAGTTGGCAGTGTGATGTCATGTGATCAGTGCGGTCGTAGTTGGCAGTGTGATGTCATGTGGTCAGTGCGGTCGTAGTTGGCAGTGTGATGTCATGTGATCAGAGTGGTCGTAGTTGGCAGTGTGATGTCATGTGATCAGTGCGGTCGTAGTTGGCAGTGTGACGTCATGTGATCAGAGTGGTCGTAGTTGGCAGTGTGATGTCATGTGATCAGTGCGGTCGTAGTTGGCAGTGTGATGTCATGTGATCAGTGCGGTCGTAGTTGGCAGTGTGATGTCATGTGATCAGAGTGGTCGTAGTTGGCAGTGTGATGTCATGTGATCAGAGTGGTCGTAGTTGGCAGTGTGATGTCATGTGATCAGTGCGGTCGTAGTTGGCAGTGTGATGTCATGTGGTCAGTGCGGTCGTAGTTGGCAGTGTGATGTCATGTGATCAGAGTGGTCGTAGTTGGCAGTGTGATGTCATGTGATCAGAGTGGTCGTAGTTGGTAGTGTGATGTCATGTGATCAGTGCGGTCGTAGTTGGCAGTGTGACGTCATGTGATCAGAGTGGTCGTAGTTGGTAGTGTGATGTCATGTGATCAGTGCGGTCGTAGTTGGCAGTGTGATGTCATGTGATCAGTGCGGTCGTAGTTGGCAGTGTGACGTCATGTGATCAGAGTGGTCGTAGTTGGTAGTGTGATGTCATGTGATCAGTGCGGTCGTAGTTGGCAGTGTGATGTCATGTGATCAGTGCGGTCGTAGTTGGCAGTGTGATGTCATGTGATCAGTGCGGTCGTAGTTGGCAGTGTGATGTCATGTGATCAGTGCGGTCGTAGTTGGCAGTGTGATGTCATGTGATCAGTGCGGTCGTAGTTGGCAGTGTGATGTCATGTGATCAGTGCGGTCGTAGTTGGCAGTGTGATGTCATGTGATCAGTGCGGTCGTAGTTGGCAGTGTGAAGGGGCTGTGACTTATATGTAAACCTTGAAGGTGTCGGTTGGGGCAGTGCGGTGGGGATCCTCTTGGCACTCTTGCCTTGCTGCGCTGGGTCATGCGGTCACTACCCTCCAGGGTGTGTTTGGTGCTTCAGTTTTATCTCAGTAATATAGAGGATTGTTCATCAGCTTCCACCTAACAGGACCCAGGAAAGGTAGGACCCCGTGCCAGGGGGAAGGAAGGGGGGCATTAGAGTGTAAGCTCCTTTGCTACGCAGACAGTAGGGAGTGTTCCTGCCTGCTAGGTCGGTGTCAGTCCTGTGGGTCCAGCAGGAGGGCTGTGTGTACTGTATGCAGTGTGGGGAGGCAGAGGGGGATTGGGTGACAGTGGATGGCGGAGGTGGGGGAGGGGAGAGAGGTGGTTAGCCCCCCTGTCAGCTCTCCGAGGTGTCACATACAAAAGAGAGCTGGAATGTCAGGTATGTGCGGGGAGGGGGGCCCCTGAGAGCCAGGGGCCAGGAAGTCAGAATGGGCAACATGAAAAGGGGAAATTGTACCGCAGACTCCGCATTAACCCCTCCACTGCCTCTGCCTGCCGCTCCTTAACCCCTCCACTGCCTCTGCCTGCCGCTCCTTTAACCCCTCCACTGCCTCTGCCTGCCGCTCCTTAACCCCTCCACTGCCTCTGCCTGCCGCTCCTTAACCCCTCCACTGCCTCTGCCTGCCGCTCCTTAACCCCTCCACTGCCTCTGCCTGCCGCTCCTTAACCCCTCCACTGCCTCTGCCTGCCGCTCCTTAACCCCTCCACTGCCTCTGCGTGCCGCTCCTTAACCCCTCCACTGCCAGATCGGGCCATCCTGGACTTATTACCCCTCTGCCTGCCGCTCCTTAACCCCTCCACTGCCAGACCGGCCCATACTGGACTTATTACCCCTCAACTGCCGCTCCTTAACCCCTCAAATGCCAGACCAACCCATCCTGGACTTATTACCCCTCAACTGCCGCTCCTTAAACCCCTCGACTGCCAGACCGGCCCATACTGGACTTATTACCCCTCTGCCTGCTGCTCCTTAATCCCATCACTGACTGCAGCTTGTTAACCCCTCAATTGCTGGACTGACGCAATGCCACGCCTGCTAAAGCTCAACTGCTGCTCATTAATTACTTAACTGATAAGCCCGGCTGCCCATTACCCCCTCAACTGCCAGACCGGCCCATACTAGACTTGCTATCCCTCTCCCTGCAGCTCATTAATCTCATAACTGCCGATCTGCAGCTCCTTACCCCTCAGCTGCCAGACTGACACTTATCTGTGACCTGTCTACTCTCCACTGCAGCTCATTAATCCCTTATCTGGCTAACTGCAGCTCGTTAACCCCTCAGGTGCTGGACTGACACATACCACCCGCTTTTTAACCCCTCAACTGCCAGACCGGTCTGCCACTCATGAATCCCTTAACTGACTAATGACACTCGTTAACCCCCCAGCTGCTGGATTGAGCCACACTGCTCATTAATGACCTGACAATATGCTCCTTTTAACCCCTCAATTGCCAGACCAGGGCATATTGGCCTCATTACCCCTCAGGGGCTGCTCGTTAATCTCTTTTGCTGATTAACTGCTGCTTTGTTAACCTCTCATCTGCTGGACTGACACACGCTGCCTCTTGTTTACCCTCAACTGCAGCTCATTAACACTTCGGTGACCAGACCTACCCTCATCTTTTACCTGTTGCTCTTTAACCCCTCAGTTGCCAGGCTGATACAGAATGCTTGTTAACCCCCGAGCTCTTTAACTTCTTAGGCCGGCTATACATGGGTCGATTTCTGAACGATTTTTCGTTCGAGAATCGAACCTAAGAATAATCGCTCTGTTAGTGGGGCAATGGCAGTGGGGCAACCGCACTGTCTATTCCCTCGACTCCGGAGCTCACAATCTAATCTGACCCTTTTCCTCTTTGCAGTTTGTCCCCCGGGAACTTTTAAACCCACCACTGGAGAGACGTTATGCCAGTCCTGTCCGGCGCACAGTCAGTCAACGACCTCCGGTGCCACCATGTGCAACTGCAAACCAGGGTATTTCCGGGCCCCTGGGGACCCCGTCAATTCCCCCTGCACCAGTAAGTTACTAAGTTGTGATAATCCCAATACTGCTACTAGAGCCCTATATATGATCGATGGTCATTTTATTACTATAATAATCAGAAAATAAAAGCTAGCAAGTATTGTTTCATTTTAATTCTTTTTCTCTGCTCTTAGCTCCGCCCTCGGCTCCTCGGAGTATTGTGCCGCATGTGAATGGCTCTACCGTAGATCTGGACTGGAGCGAGCCCCTTGACGCTGGTGGCCGGTTGGACTTGTATTACGAGGTGCAGTGCTCAGAGTGCGCCAGCGGTGTCACCTGCATCCCTTGTACCCGCTTGTCCTTCTTCCCCCGCCCGCAGAAGTTGATGGAACGCAGGATCCGAGTGTCAGGGCTCCGCCCCCGAGTTGCCTACACCTTCCGGGTCCTGGCGTTGAATGGCGTATCGGATCGCAGCGGATCGGCAGCCTCAGGGGAGGAGCTAAACGTCACCACCGACCGCGACTGTGAGTCACTTGACCTGCTGTGAGTTGTACGTTTGGGAAGCAGTACTACAGATCTAACCCTTCTCCTTCTGTCTTGCAGTGCCCCTCCCTGTGAACGGGATCCAGCAGATTACCGTGTCTGAGTCTTCATTGACTCTGCGGTGGACCCCTCCGCTCCCTCCACAGTCACCAAATCGGGGGAACATTCTGGATTACGAAGTCAAGTACTATGAGAAGGTGCAGAATGCTACATTTATGTCCTTTGGATTTAGATGTTCTTTAATATGGGGGTGAATGGCTTTACACCGATGGGGAGGGTTTATTGCCTTCTTTTTGAAGCAAAACTGCTGAAAACCTCAGTTGACCTTGTCGTCTATCTTTTCTCATGAAGTCATGTCTCTCCTCAAGAGGATCTATCTCTTCTTAGGAGGACCTGTTTTTTTTCTTAGGAAGATTTGTCTTTTCTCAGGAGAACTTGTCTTTTCATAGGAAGACCTGTCTTTTCTCAAGAGGTCTTCTCTTTTCTCAGGAAGACCTATCTCTTGTTAGGAGGACCTGTCTTTTCTTAGGAGGACCTGTCTTTTCTTAGGAGGACCTGTCTTTTCTTAGGAGGACCTGTCTTTTCTTAGGTGGACCTGTCTTTTCTTAGGAGGACCTGTCTTCTTAGGAGGACCTGTCTTTTGTTAGGAAAATTTGTCTTTTCTCAGGAAGACCTATCTTTTCCTGGGAGGACTTATCTCTTCCTAGGAGGACCTATCTCTTCTTAGGAGGACCTGTTTTTTCTTAGGAAGATTTGTCTTTTCTCAGGAGAACTTGTCTTTTCATAGGAAGACCTGTCTTTTCTCAAGAGGTCTTCTCTTTTCTCAGGAAGACCTATCTCTTGTTAGGAGGACCTGTCTTTTCTTAGGAGGACCTGTCTTTTCTTAGGAGGACCTGTCTTTTCTTAGGAGGACCTGTCTTTTCTTAGGAAAATTTGTCTTTTCTCAGGAAAATTTGTCTTTTCTGAGGAAGACCTATCTCTTCCTGGGAGGACCTATCTCTTCCTAGGAGGACCTATCTCTTCTTAGGTGGGCCTATTTCTTCTTAGGTGGACCTGTCTCCTCTTAGGAAAACCTGTCTTTTGTTAGGAAGATTTCTCTTTTCTCAGGAAGACCTATCTCTTCGTAGGTGGACCTGTCATCTCTTAGGAGGACCTGTCTTTTGTTAGGAAGATTTGTCTTTTCTCAGGAAGACCCATCTCTTCTTAGGAGGACCTATCTCTTCCTAGGAGGACCTATCTTTTCCTAGGAGAACCTATTTCTTCTTAGGTGGACCTGTCTCCTCTTAAGAGGACCCATCTTTTCTCAGGAAGACCCATCTTTTCTCAGGAAGACCTATCTTTTCCTAGGAGGGCCTATCTTTTCCTATGAGGGCCTATCTTTTCCTAGGAGGACCTATCTTTTCCTAGCAGGACCTATTTCTTCTTAGGGGGAACTGTCTCCTTTTAGGAGGACCTGTCTTTTGTTAGGAAGACCCGTCTTTTCTCAGGAAGACCCATCTTTTCCTAGGAGGACCTATCTTTTCCTAGGAGGACCTATTTTTCTTACATGGACCTGTCTCCTCTTAGGAGGACTTGTCTTTTCTAAAGAGGACCTGTCTTTCCATAAGATGACCTATCTTTTTTCACAAAGGCCTGTCTTTTCTGAGTAGGACCTGATTTTCCTTAAGAGGACCTCTCATCTCTTAAGACAGCCTCAAAAGGATCTGTCTTTTCTCTTTCCTTAGGATGCCCTGTATTTTCTTAGGACACTCTGTCTTTCCTTAGGTCGACCTGTCTTTTCTTCAGGAGGACCTGTCTTTCCTCATGAGGACCCATATTTCATGGCATTAATAATCTCCTTCTCTGTTCCTCAGGATCAGGAAAAACCCCTCATCATGTTTCTGAAGACCCCTGGCAGCGAGGCACGCCTGGTAGGACTCCGCACAGGGACGGTATATGTGGTACAAGTGCGGGGGCGAGGACGGAAGCCGGTTATGGGGCATTTAGCGGAGATGCCCTCTTCCGGACACTTTCACAGGGTGAGTGCAGGGGAAGGGGCAGTGTATGCCTCAGATAGCACCATTGATAGCCACCGTGAGATGGTCTAGCCCCAATGTCCCTTCACTGTTTACTTGACTCTGTGTTCCCTGTAACATTGTGGCTGACACATTGAATCTTGTTTCAGACCCAGCAAAACCTCAGCCTCAGGTGGAACTGATTGCTGGGACGGCCGGTGTGGGGGCAATCCTGGTGATCGTGGTTATCATCATTGCGGTAGTGTGTGTAAGGTAAGTGCTCCCAAAATGTATTCCTCTCTTCCATCACATGTGTGAGGAATTTGGAGTGCAGACCTCAGGGGTGAAGTCGCCTCACCCACTTTCTGAATAGCTCTTGCAAGTACAACAAACCTTTTCATTGCCATAAATAATCGATTTCCAACCTTTGCCATCTCTCTTTGTGTACAGGAAACATGGAAGCCACAAAGAGCCGGAGTACTGCGACAAACCGGGCCAGTACCTCATAGGACACAGTAAGCTGAAACAAACAACTAATACAGTATATCGAAAGCTTCAGTTACATATTCCTTCAGGGAACATGGAATCCATATTTGGTCCAACCAGTGTGATTCCCAGAAGTCTATGAAACAATAATTATATCGGGTTGTAACAGCAAACATTAAACACCTTATCTCCTCTGACCTCCCCATTAACTGCAGCCGGCTCTGAGATGCTACAACCACAACATCTGGTGCCACCAGTTGTCACATGCTCAAAGCCGCTTAGATCAGCCCTGGATCCATTCTGATGTTGGCAAGACAGAAGCTGAATGTCCTCAGCATGTTAGCATTGCTTCTATGCTTTAAATTGCAGCCATGTGATTGGCTATTTTGTAGTGTGTTGTTATTGAGCAGCTGTATCTTATAAAGCGGACATTGGGTTCATGTGTTTTTCGGCTGTGTCTTCATCTATGCCTTTTTAACTCCCAATTATATGGAAATGACATACTCAAACAGCCTATGTTTTTCTTTAAAGATACAGATGGGAGTCAAACCGTAAAGTCTTTCGGCCCTACTAAATATATGACCCAATAGGGCTTATGTAAAGTTGAAGTTGCCCTTCTTGTTTTTTTGAACTCCTTATTCATGGTTTTATTCTGTTTCAGGCACAAAGTTGTACATCGATCCCTTCACCTACGAAGACCCCAACGAGGCTGTGAGGGAATTCGCCAAGGAGATCGACGTCTCCTACGTGAAAATTGAGGAGGTTATTGGAGCTGGTGAGGATCAAATATTGGAGGATGGTGGAGGTTGTTTCTTGAGTTATGGTGGATGTTTTTTTGGTGGGGGATTAAACTGGGAGCAATTAGGGCATCAAAGGGTAACTAGGAAGTGTAAATGGTGTGTACAGAAGACACGTTCTAGGTTATCAGAGCTGGTGAGGACCAGACTGGGGATGGTGGAGGTTGTTTCTTGAGTTACGGTGGATGTTTTTTGGTGGGGGATTAAACTGGGAGCAATTAGGGCATCAAAGGGTAACTAGGAAGTGTAAATGGTGTGTACAGAAGACATGTTCTAGGTTATCAGAGCTGGTGAGGACCAAAGACTGGGGATGGTGGAGGTTGTTTCTTGAGTTATGGTGGATGTTTTTTGGTGGGGGATTAAACTGGGAGCAATTAGGGCATCAAAGGGTAACTAGGAAGTGTAAATGATGTGCACAGAAGACAGGTCTAGGTCATCAGAGCTGGTGAGGACCGAAGACTGGGGATGGTGGAGGTTGTTTCTTCAGTTGTGAGGGATTCTACTGGGCACAATTAGAACATCAAAGGTTAAATAGGAAGTGTATATGACCAAAGAGAAGGCTGTGTAGGAGATGGGTGAATGTAGGAAGGAACAGGGCCATGAATCTATGTAGTAGAATTCACATTCTGTGTCGTCGGAGCTGTTGAGTATCAAAGATGGGAATGGTAGAGATTGTTCCTTTTTAATATGATGGATGTTTTTTTTTGTTGACAGAATAAAATGAGCAGAGTTACACCATTGTAGGTTAAGTGGGAAGTGTGACTAACCAAAGAGAAGGTTGTGGTAGAGAATATGTAGGGGATGGGTGAACGTGTGAAGGAGCAGGGCTATGAATCAATTAGGTGTACAGAAGTCACGTTCTAGGTCATCGGAGCTGGTGAGGACCAAAGATTGGGGATATGGAGGTTGTTTTTTGAGTTATGGTGGAGGCTTCTTGGACTTAAGTTGGGCACTATTAGAGCATCAAAGGTTAAATAGGAAGAGTGAATGACCAAGGAGAAGCTTGTGTAGGAGATGGGTGAAGGTAGGAAAGAGCAGGGCTGTGAATCTTATGTGGTGTGTACTGAAGACACATTCTATGTTATCGGAGCTGGTGAGTACCAAAGATGGGAATGGTAGAGGTTGTTCCATTGATTATGATGGATGTTTTTTGTTGAGCGATTAAATTAGGCAAAGTTAGGTCATTGTAGGTTAAGTGGGAAGTGTAAATACCAAAGAAAAGGTTGTGGTGGGGAATTTGTAGGAGATGGGCGAACGTGTGAGGGAGCAGGGCCATGAATCTATAGGGTGCGTACAGAAGACACATTCCAGATAATCGGAGCTGGTGAGTACCAAAGATAGGGATGGTAGAGTTTGTTCCTTGAAGTATGATGGATGTTTTTTCTTGAGAGATCAAATAGGGCAGAGTCAGGTCATTGTAGGTCAAGTGGGTAGTGTAAATA